AGCAGGACACACTCAGGCCCTGCCTGCCCCACTACCTCACTTAACTCTTGCAGCTCTTGCATCCAGCTGCCAGTGTCACCGCTCTACAACCAGAGAGACTGAAGTCTAGCAGACCGCCTTGCTGAGCCTCACAGAGGCAGGGACTGGTGGATGTGAAGTATAGATATCGGGTTTCAACCCTGAGAAAGCCCTTGCTGTTACTGACCCCCATAACATTTTCAGAGTGAATTATGTAAAACATGGCGGAGTCCAGCAACAACTGACTCCCACTGGGTTTGGCCAGCTTGACCACAGGCCCTTGGAGCTGCTGACCCTCTGTAAGATTTGGAAACTTTGGTCACCGCTGTGCCTGAGGGAAGCAGCTCCATCCCCAGGACTAATGGCAGCAGCCAGAGACGGATGTGGAATTCACCAGCCTGAGTTTTCCCAGAGCCCCAGAGAAGCAAGCCTGGCTGTCCCAGTCTCTGGCTCACCACAGGAGTGAGCCCTGTGCCGCGCGCCTCCCAGCCTCACAGGACCTGAAAGCCCTCCTGAGCCAGACCGGATGCATGACCGGCTCCAGCCTTTGCTGGAGTTGGGGGAGGAGAAAGGAAAGGACAGGCACAAAGGCTAACTTTTCCTTTTCCTTATTCTCCAGAGAGATTTGGCTCCAGCCACACCGGAGCTCTTCAGCTGTTTGTTTTGATTCCTACTGAGAGCCTTTCTTGGAAAAGGCACAAAGGGCTTCGGGGCCTCAGAAAATTCCTGAAAGTAAACAGCTCGTCTTTAAAACTGCTTTGAAAGGTCACCGCATGACTAGTACTCGTACCTATAAAACCTAAAAGGAGGGGTACGTACAGAAGAAAGGGAGGGAGAACTGAAAAAAACACTTTTCTGGAGCAAAATCAAAAGGGTTCCAAGGTTCTGGGAATGAAGGACAGGAGCTGCTCTGCCCTCCCCTTACCCTCTTTTTTTCAAAATTCAGGGGCTCCAGCTTGTATTTATCTACATGAATGTGACCTTCGGGGTTCAATCTGTTTCCATCTCTCATCTGCTGAGCTGCTGGTGCTCCCCTGAGCATTTGGATTAAGAGGAGGAGGTTCCCGGAATTAGCGATACCGCCAGGCAATAATAGGTGGCCGCGGACAGCCGGGCCCTGGCCCTGGCCCAGTGAGGAGGTCGGTGGGAAAGGAAGCGGGGACCAGAGAGGCAAGGCGGGCAGCAAGCCAGGATGCTGTGCCTGGTGTCCCCTCAAAGTCTGGACACACACACACACACACACACACACACACACACACACACACCCAGGGCTCAGAGAGGCAGCCAGCCTTTCCCAGCTCCATTTTCTCAGCTGCTCAGGGAAAACAGTAGGTACCAGAGCAAAGGCTGTTTATTTTCCTTTTATTTTGATCAGCAAAAGATTGCAATCTATTTAAGGTTCTAGTACCTGAAAGGCAAAAGCTTTTGAGATTGCACTATGAATTGT